CCGTGAGGATTACAGAAACGCGTTATGGCCGAGTATATTGTCAGCGTTTGACTGCATCGCCTTTTGCTTACCTCCTACTTCCATTTTTTGCATTCCATCCTTCGTGTGACTGATTCTATATATGAGCAGACAATGCCATATTCTATAGTGTTCTGGTGCTTTATACTGCAGTTGTCAACCTTTGTCAAATGTCTCTTTCGAGGTTGGGTTACGTACTGGTTCGACACTTCATGACATCCAACATATTTGAGAAAAGTCAAATGTCTCTTTCGAGGTTGGGTTACGTACTGGTTCGACACTTCATGACATCCAACATATTTGAGAAAATTTTCGAAGATAGGATGGGATGAAGACCATCGTTAAGGCTCGCACCAGCGTATCCAGACCGTTACAGGAATTGGGGAAAGCCACCCGTTGAAAATGAGCACAATGAAAACCTCAAAGAGCGGCATGCGCCGCTCATCTCCACGATCCTTGAAACTCTTCCAATGAAATGAGATAATCTTCGCAAGTGGCGTCCCCTTAGATACATATCGCATTGTGTCCAGGGATCACAAAACATTCTCAATATCGTAAAAGTCCATCGTAAGCCAGTCCGTATCCAACATCAACACACCACCTATCTAATACGGTCTCTAAGGCTACATCGTAAAGTCGCGTCAAATTTCGTGAAGGAAAGTGCGCAGGCAGCATTTCGAAAATGTGCTGCTGTTAGAATGTCACCAGAACAGCCTCAGTCGCGCGAATGTCCAAACCTGCGCTGAAATCCACCATCTCCAAATCAAGCCCTCCCGTGGGCGAGATATCACTGTTCTCCCAGCTCTGGCCAGCCCACGTCAGGTTGGAGACATCGTCAGCATGCTGAATGACGAGACGGCGCGCCGTCGCTGTCTGCCCCATGAACAGGTCCACATCCAACAACGGTGAGCCGTCTTCACCAAAGCCAAGCATCACGTCGAGATCGATATGTACGGACGGCCGTGTGCCAGAATCACTTGCTAACCATGGGTGCATGTTGACGAACACCGCACGGACGAAAAGTCCGTTCTCGAAGGCCGCGTAACCGCTCACGTCGTCGTCATCAACACTGAGCTCAATAATCGCGGCGGACCCTGTATCTCCGATAAACGTGTCGACCACCAGCCCGCCGTAGTATGCTGGCTGAATGTGCGGTGGCTCAGGAGGATCCAGAGGAGAGTTATCAATGGTCGAGAAATTGAGGGTGACGGGTTGAATCTGTCCGCGGTATGGTCAGCGCTGCAAACGACGTGACCAAAGTGACTCACGAAGTTGTATTTGTAGCCAATACCCTGATGGAAGTAGGCTTCCGAGATACCCCTCGTCGCGGCTTGCAAGGTATAATCGATGACCCACAGCGCCATGGCAGCGGTGTTGCTGATGCCCGGAGCACCGTGACACGCGACACTGTTTGTCTCTCTGTCAACGCCGCCAATCAGAGCAAGCTCAAGCACGAGAATGAAGTAAAATACCCAAGAATATAAACCAATCCTTGTTCATGTGTAGCAGCAATATCGGCGTCGAATATTGACAAATTGCCCCGGACCGCAGCCTTATTCATGAAGGAGATCAACCCGAGATCTCCACCGTTGCAGAAATTTGCCGAATACCGGTGCTGAGAGATGCTACACGGTGCTACATCAGTTTCCAGCCCAGAGACTCATGAAGAGAGACGAACGTGGAGATAGTTGCTCCGGCTTCACTGCCGAGAATGCCCAACGCGAAGATCTCTCGAGGAGTGTACCCTTGGCCAGAGAATGCGGCACCTTGAAGAGTAACGGGGCCGGAGTTGCTTGAGATTCCGATGGCCTCCACAACCGGGTCTGCGATCGACTCCCAATCGGAGACATACTCCTGAACCGTCCAGCCCTTAGGACGTAGCCCGTGAGTTGGATTCCTGTAGAGGTCAGGTTCGTTGCCTAACACAGGCGTGAATGATCAGTAAAGCCGAAGTAGGTTCTCAACAACGAAACGTATACATGCCAACTTCGATCCTGAGAAGTGAAACGCCCGAATTCTGGACCTCTTGAGTGCCGAAAGCGTCGACGATTGCTTTCGCCATATTAACGGCATTCGTGGCATTGTCGAGTCCGAGATTCACGCCCCATATCATACGAGTGCCTGTTGAACATGGTCAAAATGAGAAGGGGGCGCCACAAATACCAAAATTCAGAGAACGTCTAATCAGCGAAAGTCGCGAACCAAATGGCTTTTGACTCGCCTGATGGAAGGAACTGAGACAGCATGTAGTAGTCATTACCGACAGTGAGGGTAGAGGCTTCTGGATACGGCGTGAGCGCGTCGGGAGTAGGGAATACCTCGTCGGCAACTATCTATAGTTAATAGAAGCGTCAATAAGGATACATGTCCAACCACATGAGCTGAATTCGTACCGAGACATCAGGGGACCAGATGGTATGATCCGCAGAGTCAGCACCGACTCGAATATTGGGCGGCTGTCCGGTAAGGGCTTGGTAGTTCTGCAAAGCTTTGTACGTAAACTCATTGCGCTCCGAAACCCCCGCCCAGTCTGGCCAGCGGTCCTGCTCGATAGAAAAGGAGAGCAGAGTAGGAGAGAGCAGGTTGGAGTTGTATGGCGCAAAGAAAGGGACTGTTACGTCTAGCGCGGAGACGAACGTGCGCACACACTCAATACCAAGTGCAGCAGCGAGTACCCTGGTTGACGACCGCATGGTGATGTCGAGGCGACGTTTTTGCTGCGGAGGCGGCGGAGGGCGGGGGGACAATGTATAGTCTCTGGGAGCATCTTTTGAGGCGATCCCGGTCAATAATCACCTTGGCGGTGGGGCCTAGCTCACGTCACCGTTATCTCTCTGGACGTAAGCTCACATCCGACCTTCGCTGAGTACAGGTCCCCAACCGTCAGCCTCGGGATGTACGTTGCGGACTTCTGAAGTTCTGCGCAGAAATGAACCCGCGGGAGTTGAATACCAAAATCCAAAATAAGTGCATTGCCAAAATTATACCTAGTAAATTGAACTATTAGTCGACGGGTTCTCGCATCCCATGGCACGTTACGCGTAACAGAGGCTGACAAGGGAGAACGAGACAGAATAGCGTTCTCTGCATTGTTTGCTTCCGTCACCCGGGGTCGTCCAACACCCGAGTCATCGCATACGTAATCTCACCGTTCCTTGCCGTGTGCCGCGTCGCTGCCGACGGTAGTAACTCCCTTTTGAAATCAGCGACATTGAATCCCTAAATGACCGAAGCGTGGCGGGACGCATGTGTCTGAAACTTCGCTACAGGCTTCGCACGGTACCATCAGATATGCCAGAGACATACCTCAGATATATCGGCGCTTGATGAACATGAGAGTTTCTGGTGCAATTGAGGGACGACCAGATAAGATTTCTATGTGTGCCGACGTCGAAAGATCCGAGTAGAGTTGGCATTACAACCATTCTTTCTCAGACGCTGGAGGAACCAGCTTCCGCCAACGTCATCAATCGCTCGGAATATCGTAACGATCGTCCTCAAGCGACCGTCCGGCCAATCATAGAGGCGGTACCGACAGCCAAGAATAGGACATCTTGGACATTCTTCTCCGAGGACGGGTTGCCCTCAGAGATATGCAGCCGTAACGCCCGCTTATCAAGATCCTGCGGTCGCGTCGCTGGTAGCCCGGGACTGTCCGTCGGGAGAAGCAGGCACGCACCATAGCCGCAATACCTATTGGCTTTGCTTGTTCCCCTCGATTTAGATGACTCCCGCAGCGTGATCTAGACGTGTAATCAATTTGCTTTGACGTCCTACCGCGTGCAAGATTATGGAGCAATCCCGAACGACGCCGCCTAGAGGCGTAGCGCTCGTTCAAGAGGAAATCGAGGGCAGTGCACGCGCAGCTGAGCATGGTCCCAATCTATGAATGTTCTAGTTTCCGCGGAGAGCAGTGAGTTCTATGACGCGGAATTAGTGTATCCACACGCACCTTCAATTGCACCGCAAATATGCATTGGCTACACTCCGAGGCTAGTCGTTTGAAATTCAATGCAGAGGAACAAAACTCACAGAAATTGACACTGAGGGGGATAGGACATCAGGAAACCTGTTCAGATCCATGGGCTCCATTTTGTAATGCATGGAGCCACGGAGCGACCGACAGGTACGTACCCTCGTTATACGGAGACAGGCCGATCCATACTGATGCGGATGGAGATCGCGATCTCCATATGGATCAGGATGGAGGATCCACGTGGCGTGCGACACGACAACAACGGCGTTCGTTCTGCTGTTTATAATTATAAATCTACTTGCGAAGCTCGAATCTCACTAAATCTCATGAAGACCACAATCCTACAAGCTCCTGAGCTGTGGGATGGAGATGCATGCTCCATACGGAGGGCGTCTCTCCATCCTGGCCCGGACGGAGCCATGGAGGCCGTGTCTCCATCCGGAGGATTTCCAGTTTCCTGATGGACTGGGAACACAGTGCACTTGGGTAGCAGAGAATATGTATCTGCATCACATTAGGCAGCAGCTCGCTTACTACAATGACAGCCCCTGAAGAGCTCACCAGCACGACTCGACTGATGTTGTCGCCCATTCGGACCGTGAGCTTGACCCAGTGACGTCTGAACTCGCTACCTCACTGACCACGGTGCAGGTGTGCAATTTAGTCCGCCGAGCGACGAGCGCCTCGCCGCCACGACCTTTGGATAGCACTTTAGGTGTCTTGCAAGTTGCTTGTAGCGACTCGTCGCCTCCCGTGCAGGAGGATGCCTCTTGTTTAGCTGAGCTAACGTGTTTTATCCGAGATGAATTGACAATGAGCACCACTGATTAACCCGAGGAAGTTGCCCGTGACTTGATACCGGAGCAGAGAGCTGGTCGACATCCGGTAACGAATGCTTGTTTCGATCAGGCTGAGGACAGTTCAGGTTCACAGTTGACCCAGTGCTTGTCGCAGACACATGACCTCACTGTCATATTGCCACGTGAGCAAGCAGAGGCGCCTACTGGGCACCATGGCCGAGTGGTTAAGGCGACAGATTAGAATTTCTCACGATCTGTTTCCCTCTGGGAGCGGGCGTTCGAATCGCCCTGGTGTCGCTGTCTCCAGGTTCAAGAACGTTTTCCACCCTTTAGAAATCTTTCTGAAGCTGTGACGTGCAGTGTCTTTGCTACCTGTTTCAAGAATCAAGTTTATGTCTCTGGCTCCCACCTTTGTGCGGCCCCAAATTTTTAATGCGGCAACTCCTAATGTCTGCTGATATCAATTTTCATCAATCGGTAATGCCACGTCCAAAGGATGACTACATTCAAGCGGACGGAGGGAGCTTGGAAGTATACATGCTACCATCATGTGAATATTATATGCAGGCTTTCCACGCGAAATTGCGTGCACTGGAGGAGCGAGAAGTTGACAGACGGCACGTTTCCAGAAGACCAGGTGCAAGTGGAGCACATGGGGCGGGCGAACAGCCCGATGCGCACTGAGAACGATCAGCTAGTTTCTGGGCCCAGAAGTAACACACAGGATGCCGCACAGAGCTCGCCAGGAGTACGGCTCGGCCGCTATATAATAGTTCCGATGGTCCACTTGACACGACGGAATCTGCGATGCCCAAGTCACCGCTGCGTACTGCGGAATACAGACACCCGGCCGAGACCCACAGCTCGTCACATGTACGTCCGACAGGAGTACACACATCTAAATGTCTGCCTAATTAATTGACGCTACGGGAGAAGCATACCGACATCGCTGCGCGCATTGTATGAACCGAGGCACGTTCCCCAAGGCTCGTGTGAGCGAGACAAGCGGAGGGCTTGTCTGTTCCACTCGTGCACATCTTCCCAGCCACGTTCGTGTGCTCGCCGTAAATGCGTAAGAGGGTGAGGACGGGATGGCGTCGTGTGAGAGGGCCCGCTGCTGTCCTTGGGTCAAGTGATGCATCCCGCGACTGCGGGACGACAACTGTCATACGGTTGAGTGTTCAGCCGTGGACGGAATGATGTCTGGGGCTTGTGATGCGCAGGTGAGGGATGGCAGGTGAACGAAACATGGACGAGGCGCCGGGCTCAGGGAATCAGTAAGATTGTCCTCGTATGACAGTCGCGAGTTCGTACAAAGTACTAGGAGCAGTCGCGGCCGCTTTGCACTGAGAAGAACACTGGCTAATGGTTAAGCAAAGAGCATTTGCAAATCGGGAGTGTCCTGCGGCAAAGGAACGACAGATCAGCGCCGCAAGCTCTGAGGACCAACGGCAGCCGTGCAAGCATCCGGTGGCTCGCTGATTTTACACGTAAGGACTACGTCATGTTGGGAGACCGAACAGCTATGGTGCACGAGGCGCGACACGATTGAAAGGCGTCTCGCGGGAGCATCCTCAGCGTCGGTGATGCCACAGGCACGCAGGGAGGCTAAAGCGGAAGATGTGACACTATGAGATGCAAGGGCATTTTTCAGACTGGTGTGATCGTCAGGGCTGCACTAAAAGCTGGTCTTGTGTGTGATCCGAGATAGCACAACTCGAGACGCGCAGACTGCCTCGTGAAGCGACGACAAGAGACAGCTCTGGCCCTCTGCGCGATGTCCGAGATTGACACCGTACCGGGGAGACAGCAGCGGGGACACGCGAAAGAGGCAAGAGGCCGTGATGGCTCTCACCGAGAGCTTATTTCAGAGTAGCGTGGGGGTGATGCACATGGGTGCATGTCCTGGGAACGTGTGGCGGTCAAAGTGGACCCAGTATGACATGGTAACCGACCCGGCAGGAAGGACGTTCGCTGTCCGAGGTGGGTAACGCCGCTAGGGCCGCGGAGGGCGAGCAAGGAGCACCCAGAGAGAGGAGGCCGGGGCACTCACACAGAGCCATGCGGGGTGCGCAGAGAGGATGGGCGCAGGCTGCTTGCGAAAGGCAGATTGTCCCAGGAGCGTGCAGGGCATAGCAGGGTGGTACACGCTGTACGTACCTGCACCTCGTCGGGCGCAGCACCACAGCAGGACACGCCACGCCCAGGTCTGTGGAGCCGCAGAAAGAGGCTATCTCGGGGGATCTGCAGGCATCGGGCATCGGGAGACACAGGGTGGACGGGGTTCCAAGCATGAATAGGCCGCCATGTCTCGACATTGAGTCGCTGACAGCCCGCGAGGCCGGAGCACCTGGGCAGCGCTGATGGACGGAGGGGGTCGAGCACGCGTGGGGCTTCTGCAGCATGTGGCGCGAGGAGGCGCAGAGACGAGGGCTCGGAGCTTCGGATAGCGCAGATTCGGGCTCGTGCAGCGTGGCGACGGAGATGCTGCGCCGTTGGACGGGTTTATGGGCGGTGTGCACATGCTCCGCGCGAGGCATGGAATGCACGAGGGCGATAGAGTCGAACAGAGTGCAATGCGATTGCCTGCGCAGAGTGCGAGGCAATCGCGCACACGTGTCCGTGTCCGCGACCTGTCCGCGTTTATATATTTCCAAGCCCGCCTCCCAACCACCACCTCCTTCCTCGCCTCACCCTCCCTCCGCGTTGCTCCACGCCATGGCAGAGAAGCTCGACGCGCCCACCCCCGCATCCACCTCCACCGACGTCGGCTCCATGTCCAAGGACACCAACGGCACCGGCCCCCGCGCGATCATCAAGAATGTCGACATGAGCGAGGACATGCAGCAGGAGAGCGTCGACATTGCGTCTGCCGCACTCGAAAAGTACAACATCGAGAAGGACATTGCCGCGCAGATCAAGAAGGAGTTTGACCGCCGCCACGGGCCCACCTGGCACGTCGTCGTCGGCAAGAACTTTGGCAGCTATGTCACACATGGTCCGTCCTCGTCTCGTGTCATCCACTCTTCCTAGGGCGCAGCGTGTGCATCGCAGCAGTGCTCGGGATGCAACTCTCCTCGTGCTTCGTGCGTCTGACCTGTTTCCTCCCAGAAACCAAGCACTTTATCTACTTTTACATCGGCTCCCTCGCCATCCTAATCTGGAAGTCGTGAGCACACCGCACTCGCGTGCACCCCGACACTCGCAGGAGAGCAGCGCAGGCGGAGGCCGGACGGCGACGATATTCAGGCTCACAGCGCACCCAAGACGAGTCGAGACGGAGTGGGGTCCCGCGAGTCCTATTTACCCCGGCACCCGTCCCAGCACGCAGTCTGTCTGTTTGTATAGCATCCCGCTTTCTTGCACATAATCCACTTGCTTCTCGTATGCGCGAGGTCACCACGCAGCTGATGCGGGAGTGCTCCCGCGCACTGCAAGGCCGCCGGCTCCGTGCCTGGCCCTGACGACGACGGCGCCACCCCCGCGCAGCGTGCCCGAGCTGAGACGCGAGTGCGGACGCGCGCCGCGAAGACGGCCTGGTCTGCGGCTTCCGGACGCCCTGCGCGCGTGCTCCGTGCCTCTGGCCATATCTCGGCGTCGCGTGCCACGCCGTCGCGCGCGGGACTCGGGGACATGTCCGGATTGAGTCCGTGAGTGTCGTGCGAGGGACAGCCGGCGGTACGTCGCTTGCGGGACGCCGATCGATGCTCCGAGGTCCTCGTATCGTGCATTGGAATGTTGACGATCACCGCGAACGCTGGGGCGCAGTGAGAAGGCCGTGTGGGGCCCATACGGCACCAATAGTCAGTAGACATATCTCCGCGTGCCTTCTGCGTCAGGCTGCGGCACATGCTGGGCTTCTCCCATCTGCGCACGCTCCGGCGCAACAATGTCGGCACACAGCTCGAGCGCCCGCATGGGTAGACTGCATCGTTCACAACTCCGCAGGAGGCACAAAACGATGCCAGAACAGCCGTATGAATACAAGATGTGCAGGTACCGACACATGATTGGGCGAAACACGACACACGGTATGATAGTGCGGACCTTGCGTCCCCCCAACGCTTCAGCTCGTCATTCAGCACCATGCCACGACACGCGGAGGCCTACCAGAGACCCCCAGTCACTCGCAACCCAGCCTCGCCCGCTCAGCTGCGCGTCACGACCTCCACAACCGCCCTCCCCACACACACGCCCCCCTCGCACTCGTAGATCCCCACATTCACCTCGCCCACGTCGCGCGCGCCCGGCGTCCCCCACAGCTCCACCACCCGCCGCCCGCTCCCCGCCGCGTCCAGGTCGACCTTCATGTACCGCGGGAGCGCCCCGCCGGACACCAGCCGCGCCTCGAGCGCCGCCGTGTTCTTCGGCGAGCCCGCCCCCGCCGGCGCGCCGCGCGCAGAGGGCGACACAGACACGCGGAAGCGGAACTGCTCGCCGGTCCGCGCGAGCATGCGCGGCACGGGCGGGACGGCGTCCACGGAGCCGCGCTCGTGCCCGTGGTGCGACGACTCGACCGAGAACGAGCCAGAGGACGAGCGCCCTGGGGGGATCGCGGTCAGCAGCGCACGCGCGAGACGGGTACGGGACTCACTGCGCGTCCCCGCGCCTGCGATTGGCGCACCCGCTTCCTGGTGGTCCCCCAGCGCGCGCACGTACTCGATGCTCTCCCGCAGGTCCTCCCCGCTCCCCGCCCCGTCGCCATCCCCAGCATCGCGGTCCTGATTCCGGAACACCTTCGCCGACTGGCTCTGCACCCGCGTCCGCCCGGCGCCTGCACCAGGGCTCGCCGCCGCCTTGCCGTCACCCGCCTTCCCCCCCTCGCTCGCGGCGCCCGCACCAAGCCCCGACGGCACCTTGGGCACCGGGACGCGGCTCGCGCTCGTAAACGGCACCAGGCGCGGGCGCACGCCCGGCTCCAGCTGCTCCGCGGCGCCGACGCTCAGCGTGCTCCGCGCACTCCGCACGCTCGTCGCGCGCGTCGCGGTCTGCACGACGGCCTCGCGCGCGCTCGCGCTGCTCCCGAGCGAGTCCGCCGCGGACGCCGCGGACTCGACCGACGCGGGCCGCTCGGCGTACGCGTGCGTGTCCTGCAGGTGCGCCTGCGGCGGCGTCTTGAGCGAGCGCGGGCGCGGCGGCGCAAAGTCTGCGCGTCGCCGCGGGATCGAGCGCGAGCCTGTCGAGGACGAGGGCGAGTCGACGATGCTCGCGAGTGCGCTCGGGGTGTACTGCCCGATGGCGACCGGGGCGTCCTCGAAGGGGAGCACCTCGATCCGCGTCTTCGTTGGCGGGAGAGG